CTATTCTCCCACTGCTTCCTAAGATTTAGACTGATGCGCTCCAATACCAAGTGGGACAGTATGATTTCCTGCAACAGTTTCAAAGCCTCCACTGCATTTAAGTTGCTGCAGAGTTGACTGATTAGTAACCGCAGCTCCTTAGAAGAATCGTGCCTCGCATTTGGCAGTCATTAATTCCTTGATATGTAGATCTGAGATGAGCCGCAGATTATGGTAACGACCACGGATCAAGTCCCACGCAACCTTAAAGTTGTCTTGAGATACAGGCAAATTTTCTATGAGATGGTCTGGCTCTCCATAGAGGCATGATAATAAGTAATATCTCTGAATGTCTGCGAGCGCATCATTACTAATAATCAATGCTACAAATGTGTCGTAGAAATGCATGAAATACTGCAGTGCACCACTGAATTTAGGTAGGGAAATTGTTGGAAGCTTCACTATGGTATCATTGATTACACTTTCATATATGACAGATAGGGGCGGAGAGGGGGGTTCGGTGCACAATAGGGTTTCCATTTTCGCTTTGAGCTCTAGGCACAAATCATCGAAAACTGACCTGTCGGTTTCGTGCGATCCATCCTCAGGTGCGTCGATTTCCGGCTGTAATTGTACATCACTGTACTCATCCACTAGGCTGGACAGTAGCCGTCTCCTAACCTTGATTTCGTTCAGATTGCCACAGACTTCCCACGCAATTACAAAGGAGCTTAAGCGAGTCACGCGTGATTTGACGACTGCTCGTTTCTTGATCAAGGCACGTTTCTGATTGTTGTCCATGTTAGCCCAGGAAGGACGAAGGAAGCTTTGTGATTTTGAACCAGATTGTACATACCAGGTCAGGGCTGTTGGCAGTGCGTGATTGCGGCCCTTTGTTTCGTTGGATAACGAGCACAATGCACATTGCCACGCTTGCAAAATCGTTTAGATTAGTTGCAGTTTTACTGATATCCGGCCCGGAGGACCAAAAAATGTTGTGCGCTGCGCAACATCTCTCTGGTAGATCCTAAACGTCACGGACTGTATTTAAACACCTCTTAATTTAACTTAATGTACAGCAACCACTTTCCATTTGCTTGCTTCCTTTGTGACGTCAAGACGGTCAAGACCGGTCAAGACACACCCACTCCCACCGGTACCAACGATCCCACGATCACTTCGCTCACTTCCTCCAACCATCCTGCTGCTTCCTGGCGAGCACAGGCACCACCACGCCACAACCCGAGAGGTGGCGCCCTCAAGCGGCCACGGCTCCAATTACATAGGATGGCTGCACTCAACAATCTCTAAGCCTAAGACAAAAAAAGTTCAATATGACTGAAATGACAATGATTAGGCAGCAGATGTAAACAGTACTAAGATTTAGGAAAACCTTATCTAAAAATTACATCTCTAAGTGAACAGCACGAATCCTATATCGTATATCTCCTACAGATTACTTGCCTGATATTGCCTTTAGTGAAATCGTCAACATCATGTTCCTTTGAGGGCACACTCTTACCGGTGAACTGTAGGTCTGAAATTTCTTCCATGTGGCTCAAAATGAAAATTCGCTAATTTTTTAAAGCCGCACATACATATGCTACTGCAGTATTGGGTATAACTGGCCGATATTTTGTATTTTCAAACCCAGTTTTTGGAAGAAAGACTGAACATCTCCACACAACAGCCTACCAACATTTCCATATTTAAACACGATACAATTTTTTTAGGTTCGCCGTTCTGGTACAGTGCAGGATAACTAATAGAACTAAACTTTCATTTGTAACACTACAAATATTTTAGAGTGCCCTATTAAGAGGTCGTATAGAATATAAATTTACTATTTTCGAGAGCCGTAAGAGGAGACAGCGGGAAGCTCGTCCGTTGTCAAAATAATTCGAAAGAACAGAACGCTAAAATTTACGGAAACTTAACAGGCATAGCACATCCATCTTATTTTATTACATATGAGTTCCTTTTATTTTTTTTTGTCTTCGTTGTAAGGCAGCGAAATATTATTTCAACATATAATTCCGATAAAGAAATACAGGATGCTGACAATGGACAGCCAAGCCAATGAAACATGGTCCCTAGAGACTTCATACGGGATACTTCGTCGAACGCATAGAATTTCTCATTCGATAGGATGCCTACATGGGTTATAACATTCATAATGTAATAGGTTAAATACGTGTACATTACATTAATCCAGCATTTGTCCATTAAGCGTGAGTATGAAATAAATCAGGAGAGGGTAATAAGTTGCAGCTCTGGCAAAACTTTTACCAGACGGCATGGGGCATCATAAACTGCATAGTATCTGCTGCCATAACCCAATATCCCACACAATTTTGTCTCAATAAATTACGATAATGTGGCACGAATGCGAAAGCCGGAATAGTCTTGCGAGTAGATGCACCATTGCTAGGCAGCGGCAAGGTAAACACGTTTCGGCAGCAACATACTGACGCAACAGTATGGGACGCGATGTTTACTATGCGGCCATTCCTGGCAACGACGCGATAGACACTCATACGTAGCAACGAATCACCACGCAACAGTTGGAGGATGAGATGTTTTCTGTGTGGTCTGCTCTGAGGCTCTGTATTGAAGACCAGTAACAGTTCAGTCACGAGTTGCACATAAGTAGTTGCAGTTGGAGGTTGGCCGTGAGGGATCTCCACTGTTTGCAGAAGATTGGTGAAATAATATTTCCTGCTCCAAGAGAAACCATGGTGAGTGCTTTGCTCTTGTTTGCATGAGAAAGAGTATGTCTTGATCCCTCAGTTCACAAGTCCAGAGAAACCAAATATTTGTGACAAGATTGTGTTAATTTTCTTAATCCATGTGGCCACATTATTATGGATGGTTGTAGGTACTGTAACAGTATAGCAAACTATACTGTATAATAAAATGATAAATTCAAGAAAGATGAGACGAGAAAGTCATNGCGCCACAAACCTAAGTGTGTAGTGCACTCTGTCAGGATCACAGTGTTACTATTCCAATTTAATAAACAGTTTTACATTTTAAAAACAGATGTCACCTCTAACCACATCTTGCATCCCATTCATAATAGGAAAGATACGTCAATTCGGTACGCAGTCAAAACGGAAATCTCGGCAGAAATAATTAAAAGAGAAGAATAACTTTTTGTGGATTTACTTCTGTATTGGAAATAATTTATTGATTTTTATAAGTAAGAAATTGAAATGTCTAGAAGCTTTTATACTAAAAGAAAGCATGGTTCTTCCTCTTCGATTTCGTAAAAAGAGGTTGGGAATATGTTTCATAGTTTTCTTCTGAGGATAATATTAAAATAGCGCGGCACGGGTGGTGCAATGCACAGAGGCCGTCCGGCTGTGAATTTAAATTTGACGGTGCAGTGCACAGAGGCCGGCACTGAAGAGTTTCCATGTGGCCACATTATTATGGATGGTTGTAGGTACTGTAACAGTATAGCAAACTATACTGTATAATAAAATGATAAATTCAAGAAAGATGAGACGAGAAAGTCATGTAGCATGGATGTAAGAATGAGAAATGCATAGAAAGATCCAGACAGTAAACCTGAAGGAATGAGACCACTTGGGGTGACCTATATGTAAAGGGTAGAACAGTGTTAATGGTTTTCATGCTGCAAGTTCATTAGACTGGCATGATTCACCCATATTAAAACACAACAACAATGAGTAGATTCATAACTTGTACTGTTTGCCAAGTATAATTGGACTGATCAAGTCGAGGATGAGATTGGGTAGGGTATGTAGCATGAACAGGGTGAAAAGGAATGCATATAAGATATGACAGAAAAGTCAGAAGAGAAAAGACCACTAGGAAGACCAAGTTGTAGGTGGGTAAGGTAAAGTTGTTCCTGTGCTTAACAAATTAAGCACTATGCCAGGAAGACACATGGGGGAGCCAATGTATAGAGCCACATTTTCTTCACCTCGGCACTAGTTTGAGGTGAGTGGTCAACTTCACGCCCTGGCCGCTTTACTCTGAGGAAAGAGCCCCCGGTACTCTTGTATAGGAGGCTGGGTGGTCCCCAAAGCCGGTCTGGATGACATTGAGAAGAAGAATTCTTGACCCTGCTGGGACTTGACCCCTCAGTCGTCCAGCCAGTAGCTAGTCACTATACCGTTATAGGTGGGTGAATAATATTGAA